GTCTCTTACAACTTCTAGGTGTATACATTTGTAGCGTAAGCAAACAAATAAGCACATATAACATTTATAAGTCTTGCACCACGACCTCTACGATTGAGTATGAAGAAAGGACTTGCAAAATCTAATCCTACAGAAATAAAAGGAAAGCCGGCGTTCACTCGCTGAGGGAATAAGTCTTCCATTTTTGGTGTTAAAATTTTACCTTGAGCACGTCGACAACGTACACACTTATTAACAGTACGCCGTGCAAGATGTCTTGTCTGCCGTTAATAGGCCAGATAGTATCTCTTATCCCATTCTCCCCTCCGATTCGTATTAATAGTGAATAGTATAAACGGGAATAGTGGTACTTGGGTATTTAAGTGGTCAAATAGTGTAAATATTAATTATGTTGGCGTCGGCCCGTAAAAACAGTAGAGTGATATGGCACCATTTTGAATAAGACAATAAAACTTTTAAGCAACGTGTAATGAATGTAAAGATGTATTAAGTTATAAGTCGTCCACCGCCAATTTAAAAAATCATCTGTGAAAAAACATCCTTCGGTTTATATATCGGTGTACGGAGCTGATGATGACCAATCCGGTCATTCATCCCGACTAACGATACGTTTAGATGTAAACAAAACAGCGAAGTGATAACGGCGTTTTGTCTTAGCTCAGGTTGGTTTTTAACCTTTCTAATATTTTTTTCTGAAATATAAGAATTTCACCCAACCTAGGTGATCAGTCAGTGTACCGTACAAGGTTAGATGAATAACTAATTTTATTTCTAGAAAATTGTATTGATGTCCAATGTCCACGACAGCAAAATATGATAGTAGGTACGAACGGGACATATTATGCAAAAATACCGATACGAGTACAAAAATAAACATAAATCAAAATATTTATCTTTGTACTGACTAATTTAGTTACCATTAAACAAATACAGCAATTGTTAATGGAATATTTTCCTACAAATTATTGTGTGTATTTTATTTTATTCTGACCTAGAGATTTAGAGTGAATTCATGCTATGCCAGGAAGTTGTCGAGTTCCCACTAACCCTGTATAATATGGTTTTTAACGGGAGAGTAAATTAATTAGATTATTGTGTTTGATTAATAAACATCGTTTCATAAATTCGTACCTATGTTTTATTGAGCTAAAACATACCTTATAATATTTATCGCTTACCTAATATTTACAAATACTTACATAATCAAATTAATAACTTAAGTATAATAACGCATAAGCGTCAATTTTACGCTTGGCATAATGGGCATTGAGCGATACGCGTGCTCTATACCTTGCTTATTTGTACTCTAAGTTCTGAATACTGTTCTAAGGGCTCCCTTAATTAAATTAAATTATTATGTACTCTTTGGAGGGGTTCTTAGTAATAAATCCATTTGGATTTTTCGTGTTTTGAAGAGTTAAGACAAAAAGCTATTTATACTAGTTGTTGGAAAAACTTGAAAAATCTTAAATTACTACTTTTTTATGTATGAATAATAAGAATTGTAGTAACCCCGGTAATAATGTTATAAGATCTGTGGGATTTACTAAACAAAGACAAAACTAGATAACGACAGTTAGTGTTGCCAGGAAGTACAACATATAAAATTATGTGAAATTATATCAAATGAAATGAAAATAATTTTGTGGAGCTGAACGTACATCAAACTGCTAATGAATAGATTAAAAACAGTCACACGTTAAAACGGAATTCGGCATTTAAATATTTTTAACCGAGTTCAAAAAATATACGTAAAAACGATATTCAAAGTGTACAGTCAAACCAGGCAGCTTTAACCATATTATTTAAAATAAATGTTTTTTTACCCCACGATATGTGAATGCCCAAAACTGTTTTAATATCCGTCCGTTTATTCATTTGATTAACATTTTTTGTGAATATTGTTTATATTAAAATCTTACAACACGAATAAACGTATATAAGTGATATAGTAGTATACCATAAATAGATTATGTAATGTTATTTATTTAAATATTTCGCCCTCAATCAAATCAACATTAGGTTTCACATTATAAATATGAACGTAGAGTGGGTGTACCAGTCCCAAACCAGTTAAAGACACATTTTCACTTCGAAATGCTCTGAACTGGTATTATTTAATTTTAACATAGAAATGTATATACAAAGTTGTTTATTGATCACTAATGTTCCATTATAGATAAATTATTTGATTCGAAATATTTAAGTTTTTTATAGATTTCATTAATTATACAAAAAACCTGAATGTGCCTAAGTTTGACCAGTGCGCTGCAATAAATGACCACTTTTGCGCCAATAGTTGACCACTTAAAAACTTATCAAGAAAAGGTAACTAATTGAAAATAAAACACTATTTTGCTACACAAATTGACTTTCATATTATGACTGAAAGTTTATCTAGACTTACAACCAATTTTAATGGCATAGTCGAAGGTAACATATTAATTTGATCAAATGTCTGACTTTGAATTATTCTTAATATTTTATATTGAAATCGGTTGTAAAAAATTTAATTATATTTAAAATTAATTAAATAACATTGTGAAATAATAAAAAACTTCATCTCAGTCCAAACTAGTGACATCTGGTGAACAGAAGATTATTAGCAGAAAGTTGTACTTCGTTGCAAAATGTGCGCTAAAAATAACCCTTCCAGTAATTTATTTATTTATTTGCTTTTTAAGGGAGACATACAGTACAATAATAAATTACACAATAAAACATATAAAAGTAATCCTAAAAACCAATGAAATTTCCACAGATATCTAATACATAAAATAAGCTTGCCACCACAATATTATGTTGTATAAAAATTAAAAGTATAAAAGAAAAAACTAACTAAATGGTATTTATAAATTAAACATTAAGTAGTAAGTAGTTAAAAGTAACATTATATATACAACTCAAAGTGATACTACCAATTATATATTAAGTTTTACAATATTTTCTTTGTAATTATCATATTCAAGGTGAAATATATCTAATTTACAATATTTTAAGTTAAACTTTTTGAATGTACGAGATACAAAATTATTTGAGGCATACCTTGTTTTAAGTTTACGTAATGCAAAAAGAGGTTTATTTCGTGCACCTAACCTGTGACACGCAAGATTCACTTTGCCTAAAAGTAGGGGAGAGTCGATGATATTATGAAGCAATTTGTACAACAACATTTGATCTCTTATATCACGGCGTTTCTCGAGGGTATGGCTGTCTAAGTGATCAATAATGACTATTTTTTAGGAGTGACAATGACAATGACAATGACAATGACAATGACAATGTTTAAACGTGAATTAAAATAAAATCAGTTTTTTTTTTACTTCCCGTTCTGACAACCCTAGCAATTTATTGTTTATGTTGACTTTTCCGACAACATCAAACGCGATGACTGACTGTGTGTTCTTCTTAGGCTGTGGTATTGGCATTAGTATGGTTTAAAACAGAGATTCCTTAAGCGGGTTCTTCGGGACCTAAGGGTTCCGTAGAAACGTCACCAGGATTCCGTGAAATCATTTATTTTTGCTTTTTAAATAATTCAAGTTAGGTACAAATATTATTTAATTTTTTTATTTTATTACATCCTATTTACTGGAAAAGAGTCATTCCTTCTTAGTTCTCACGGCTGGCAACGCATCGGCATTTTGATTTGCGAACGAAGATAGATGTAGATGTCTATGGGCCACAGCAACCACTTACCATCAGGTGGACTGTGTGCCCGCTTGCCACCCTCATCCTATAAAAAAATAGTAAAAATATGTGTATGGTATGAATTCACATATTTTTGAATTCCGACTATCCACTCAGTCTGCAGTGGATAGATAGAGGGTGGATAAACGAATAACCGGAGCAAACACGGACGGAAGCACGACTGATACAGGGCGACATTAGCAGACATATTCGCTAACTTTGTTTGTAATACATTGCGTCCCATGATTTATAAGACTTGGTAACACTTATACAAATTAAAGCTATATAGAATACGCAATGTACTACAAAGTTACTGGGCTTGGTACGGTACTAAAGAGCGTGGCGCGGTGAGACAATGGCATTCTCGGAACAGAAAGTAGTAGCACAATTTAAAGATCTTACAGTTGGAAAACGAATGTACTTGTGCAGAGCGACGGTGGGGGTACTGCAGGGCCCCCCCCCCCCCCGAACCCGGGCGAACTTGTGCTAGCGCACTTCACTGAGTCTGATAGACAATACATGCGGTTGGCGCGAGCGTGTTTTAAAGTACTTAATTCGGTAATTTTAAGTGCCGTTTTCGAAAAATATAATATCAAGGATGGTAAATTACTATTATAGTTAGGAGTTACTAAGTCAAATTGAATTCAAATGACGGCCATGCTTATGTTTCCTCACTTTTTTGTTTATAAAATTGTTTATCCGAATGCGAATACACTACATAATTAAATTAAAAAAAAGAAAACTGAAAACATCTATAAAAAGAAAATGATACGCAAAATATTTGGCAGTGCAACACTTGTAAATTTGTTTTTTCTTGTAATAATAAAAAATGATCTTGTTCAATAAATGTTTTTAACTTATAAGTGTGTTACGTATGTTATATTATACAATGTTAATAAATGATAAGGGTTATTATAATTTCCAAAGTAATTTTATTTGCAATTTCGTGACAACCCTAGCATACACGCTGGCCGGTTCAATAGCTACGCGGGTGGCGGCATCGGCGGACATCAAAGGCGTTTAACAACTGTAAGGTCTTAAAACTGTGGTAGTAGAGAGCCGTTCTCCAGTCATAGTTGACCCGACCATAGGCGAATATGCACCAGTTAACACGTAAACTAGAAAATCACTTACGTTTCATAATATGAGGATAGGAGTAAATTAGTTAAAAAACATAATCTAGACAGTGAAGTAAAAAAATATTTCCATGTAATTTATTACACTTATAGAATATTTACTTATCTGGTAATTCGTCACAAGATAACATTGTTTATATGATAATTCACTGAGATCTTTAATGCAATTGTCATTTACTTATTAACTTCAGCAGGACGGTAATTCTTTATGCCCTCCATACGGGCCTTCCTTCGCTCTGAGGGAGTAGCACCCTTTATCTTGGTTATAATATGAGGGCCTTTCTTACTTAAGTCCGGCTTGTAGGATGTGGTGTTATCCTGTAAATGTAAAAAATAGATATTAATATTTTTGTTGTATAGTCCATTCGCGTTAAAAAATATTGAGTAATTAGGAAAACTGCAGCGTAAAGGTGTATTCACAGTGGAGTAAGAATTCAAACAATTTATATTTGAGACATAGATAAAAATTGACTTAATTATCTCAAATCTTAATAACTCTTAAAAACTATGGAAGATGTATTATGCTCAAAAAATGGGGGTATGGGATGGTATTTTTAGGGGCTTTATATTTTTAGGGACTTTTATATTTTTTCCACTTTAGCTGATTCTCTAAGAGTTCATCGTCTGAGAACGACAGTGAAAATGAAGATTGAATTAAATTAAATCTAAATTAAGTTGATATAAGGGGATGCGGCAAATGCATTTTATTACTTCTTATTTTAAAATTGTTGAGATGAATCTAAAGTCAGGATACTTATGGCTAGAGCGATTTTGATGAATTTTTTTTTTATAGGATAAGTGTGACGAACGAGCACACAGTCCACCTGATGGTAAGTGGTTGCTGCGGCCCATAGACATCTACATCTATCTTCTAACACAAATCAAAATGTAGATGCGTTGTCACCCGTGAGGACTAAGATGGAATGTCTCATTTCCAGTAAAAAGGGCCTCCGGCCACCTGCACTCACCAAGCGAAACGCAGAGGTAAACCTCTACTTCACGCTGGTTTTCTGTGAGGTCGTGGTACCACCCCGGTTCGAGCCGGCCCATCCGTGCGACAGCAAAAGCTGCCGCGTGGCTCTACCACTGTTGTATGACTTGAAATGCTCGTAGCGTACGCATGAAATGCACAATTCGCGCGCGCAAGGCGTCCACACTATGAAAATGTTACAAAGTGTACTGTGTGTAAAGTACATTGCACTAATGTGGACAGAGTAATGTGCAAATTCTTTCATTTCATATTACGTTGCGTAAATCTGTACGCGGCACTAGAACCAAACTTTACACTGTCAAAGGTGAGTGAATTTTTAATTACTATTTCTCAAATTGTTAGAGCAGTCATTTTTGTTATTATAATTAAAAAAAATCAACTTGCAACTCACATCTTCCCAATTCTCCTCAGATGTCACTACCGTAGGAGGCGATACAATTTCAACTGTGGGCCTGTAGTCGTCATCGGTTATATACAACTGGTTATCCAGCATGTGTCGCTTGGGGCAGACACTTACATGATACTGAAATATGCAATTTATATTGTAACATTTTAACACATAACATTACATAAACTTATTTTTATCACATTTAATTTTGATTATTTTAAATACCCGACGTTTTAAGTGATTTGCAGTACCAAAGGTTTATAGATGGACGTATCGGCATGTACCGTGTAGTAGCGGTGTAAGAACATCCAATACCCTATATCGTCCTATGAGTGCCTTAACAGGCCATAAAGGGAAACTGAAACAGTAGCGGTATCTTCCTAATGCCATATAACAAAAAATATGGTTGCCAACCCACCTGCCAAGTGTGGCGACTACTATGGCAAAATCCTCCCTGTGAGGCAATTTATGGGGGAAGCAGTGTTCAGCGGTGGATTAGATGTTTGTTATGGTGTAACAGTAATAGTAACACACAACATACATATAAATACTTATAAATATATATTACTGCAAATAACCTTATCCATATCTCTCTATACCACTTGAATAGCTTAAATATAATTAAACAATACAATATGTAACAAAAGAATGTTTATTTTTTGTTATATATGTAAGACAAGTTTGTTTGTTTTGTAAACCATACTTGTAAAGTGGGCTTGACTCCAACTTCAGTGAGATTATTCTGACTGCGAATCTTTAATGAAAACTACATTTGTTGTCAATAAAATCAGATAATTCCTTACTTATACAATTCAACAACGTTTATTAAAAGGATATGTTTAAATAAGCAAAAGAAACTGAGTAGCTCATTGTTGACCTTACAATCTCTTAGACATATTCTAATGAAAAAGCTATGAGATTTAAAAGCCAATAAATCATCAATCAACTTAAATAAAACCAAAAAAATTTGCTGACAGTCTTAGGAACAGACAGGCATTTGAGTACTATTATTTCTCCTTTCAACTATGCCCTCAAGGATGCGGTATGTGTGGACGAAGAAGCTTGCACAGTCATCAATGTTTTTTATATGGTAGAGCCACACTGCAACTATAATATGGTTGTAGCATGAATAGGTCGGCTCAACCAGAATAGGACTACGCTCTCACAGAATACCAGCGTAAAATAGCAGCTTAATGCTAATGTGTTTCGTATGGTGAGTGTAGAAAACCGGAGACCATTTTTACTGAAAACGAGGCATTCCATCTTAATCCTCAGGGGTAACAATGCCTCTGTATTTTGATTCTTAATTGAGGATAAATGTAGATGTCTATGGGCCACAGTATCCATTTACCATCAGGTGGACTGTTCGCTCGTTTGTAACCCTTATACTATAAAAAAATGTCCAACACAATTGTGACAGCAATAGGTAAGCTTGGTTAATATGTCTTCATAGAGAGATAAAAGTGGATGTAATGACCAATAGCAAGGAAATTTTTAGCAAAATAAGGCTCAAACAATATACAAAATTGTTGTCACAGGCACAATAATTATCATGGCAGAAATTACCAGGTTACACACGTTCAAATCTCAGTCATTGGTAATTATATTTACTGTTTTCATTTCATAAAATGAAGCGTGTTCAAATAATATACTAAATACATATTATTATAAAAGTTAAAGTTACAGCCTATATACATATGTCCCACAGCTCACAGGGTTTTAGAGCAAGGAAATGTTCACCACAGTGTTGCCTCAATGCATGTTGGCGTACTTCACGTCTTCGAAATATTTTCATTATATATACTTAATAGAGTACGTGAGGGTAATATGGTCATCCGGTTAATATGGTCACTTTCTTATAACTCAAAAACTACAGCCTAATTTGCATAGATGGCTTTGTGATACGATAGCTCTTCATCAGTCATTCAAATTAAATAAAGGGTCAAAAGGCCGCCGCTTCATCGACGCTATTTTAACAGTTGATAAAGTACGTGAGGGTAATATTTAAGCCTTCAGCTTTATTCGCCTTATAAAACCAAAATTAGGAGGAGAACAGAGACAAAAACACCAAAGTCGTATACTATAACTAATATATTAAGAAAAAAATTGCAAACAAGCTTTGGAAATAATTAAGAACACTTAAAAAAAACTAACTACACTACACAATACAAAAATCGACTAAAATATTTACAATAATATCAACTGTCAAAATGGCGTCGATAAAGGAGCGCCTTTTTGACCCTTTATTATTATTTGATAGACTGATCAAGAGCTATTGTATCACAGAGCGTTCTATGCAAACGACGTTGTAGTTTTTGAATGACCATATTAACCAGATGACCATGTTACCCTCACCTACTATAGTTAGTTTTTTTTAAGTTAATTTTTCGAAGTGTTCTTTTATTGCTAAGGCTTGTTTGTTATTTTTATTCTATATTAGTTATAGTATACGACATTGTGTATTTTTCTCTGTCCTCTTCCTAGTTCTGGTTTTATAAGGCGGCAAAGCTTAAGGTGACCATATTACCCTCACGTACCTTATTATATACTTTTAAATAATGGATGAATAAACTTTCATCAAAACATATAGAAATTATTATGCATTTAATTTTACACATTAGAGCGATCATTCACTAATAAAAAACTAGATACACAATCCCAGTTCTAAAAACTGTCGCTAATTGTTTTGACGTAATTCTAGTTGAAATTTACATACATTAATATAAATTCAACCTTAAATGCATTGCCTAAAATTGTATTCACAAAGCTACGCATAAATTAAAAGCGCACCCAAAAAAACTCAAACAGAGTGGGCACTCATTTGGTAAGGACATTTTTTGTTTTGGACATCATTTTCAATAAACCAAAGACAGGAATAACTAGAACTTACGTCAATCTCCACATCGTTTACCACGTGAGTCTCCGCTAGGAGTAAAGTATTCTGTGATATATATTTATCTTGGCCTAAAGGTCTAGATGCCAGGCCATAAACTCCAAAAAAAAAAATATATTTATCTATGCATCCCAGCATCCCTACTTTAACCGCCAAATCACGCAAATTTTGTGCAATTTTGTTCTCTAGTATATATACAGTAATCCATAGAAGTATTAGGCTTTACTCTAAGCAGTAATCTATGAATTTTGTGTACGTACCATAAAATAAATCACATATTGTATGTAAAAGGATATTCAGAATTTTCTTAATATAATTTCTAGCTACCATTGGACATAACAAGAAGGACTAGAATTTTTCACACAGGTAAAATTGTTTTTAATTATGCGGAAATAAAAAATGTTGAAAGCAAACGTAACATTCTTCCGTTGTTTCTAAAGCCGTCATTGGTGGCAATTTGTCATTTTTAATGCAATCTAGCCGACTGATCCATCCTATAGTTATATAGGATGGATCAGTCGGCTATATCCTATAGTTTCATGTTATCGTTTGTACCTCAAACATACCAACATTTATTCAATAAGAAACCTTTGATGTCCTTAAAGTATAAGTATAATAAATGTTAATAAGTTTATATATAGTGCCATACATGGAAGTCACCTTTAATATATTAATTAATTTATCAGCCATTAGTGTAGATCTACCTTTGCCATTTTATTGTTAGTTATTAATTGATGCCTATGTTATGTTCCTTTAATTCATTGAATAATACTTAAAATAAAAAAAAAATTAAATCAGTAGAAGTAAGTCTTGTGAAGTATGATAGATCATTAAGAATAACTTAAATAGTTTGTAGTACTGTATGTGCTCATATGTTGTCATAGAGAAGTGGTGGACTACTACAATTAACAAGTCATTGCAGTTTGATAACAAGCTTGTTTAGATTTTAAAATGTCTATTATATATTTATAAATATACCAGCTGCCACCTGAAGCGTTGCTGCCATGGAAGAACTAATAACGGAAATATTGTTTAATTGGGAATGATAATACATTCATTGAAGTTGAATGATATATTAGAATAGAATATTGTTTATTTCTTAGTACATATATGGTAATTACAGATGTTGAAATTGTAGAATGGTTCACATATATTACCGTTATAACATTTTTTTTTTCCTAATTTGGCAACTTCCAATGGATTCTGCCAGCGTCAAGTATTTCATGAGAGTCACACAGAGTATTTACTAGTTTCCGTTTCCATAGATGCGCTTACTTAACTTTATGTTACGAACTTACCTATGTAGTTATTTTCGAATGAATTAACATTATAATATTTTTACAAAATTATTGGTAATATAATAATAGGGATATAGGTAAGTGGCAAAGGTACTATAGTTTAATGTTATTAATGGATATGAAATCTAATAAAGTTTGAACAAAAGGAGTGAAAACTAAATACCGTTATAACATTCAATTAAATTTATTGGTACAACAAGTGTACTACCTACTGTAAGTTAATTATACTATGCCTATAACTTTTGCTAACTTAGTGCAAACAATAAGTTGATAAAGTTATAGTGCATTCTGATGAACGGTATGCCAATGCATAAAATACAAACAAACAAAAATTAATTTTTATATATTAGATATTTAAAAGGTCTACTATAAAGACACAAGTTGCTTTTGTTCAATTTGTGCTTGGAATATGATTTTGCTGCCTCCTCTCACTACAGCCAACGAGACAAATATTTCAGATTATTATGTATAAGTTCTAGTTTTCATCATGTGTGAATATTTATATTTTGGAAGCACAATATGGAACATACAAAAGAGAGTGAGAGTGGTTATCTTTTTATTGGTCATGTGTTATGGTAACCTTATGAATTCTGAAAACTTAATTAATGATTATGATAAATTTTCTAACAGTTCTGAATTTTGGTCATGGCAGTAGTGTCCGACCGAAAGTTGATATCTGGCTGAAGCCGAAGCGGAAACCGATTAACGGCTATCGCCACAACCTTGGGTGGTGAATTAATAATGGAAATAATAACCTCCAGTCCAAATTTTAGTTATGGCAGTAGTGTCTGAGTGAAGGTTGATTTCTGCCCGAAGCCAAAATTGGCTATGGCCACTACCTTCAGCCGTAGCCGAAGCAAACAAAGTAATATTAAAATCCTAAGAAATTCAGTTCAAGATTTACTTAAATTAACAATGTCAATGATTTTATATTAATTGTAAAATATAACATGTGGTAACATTTTTTACACCATAATGACATTTACATTTACATGACCATTTTAACATTGAAAAATTTTGTACTGTTGATTGTTTGTTGATTTTTTTAAAACCGCTCCACCGATTACAATAAAATTTAAATGGGACCACACGGAAAGTAAACCTTTTGAAACAAAAAAATAATTATCCAAATCGGTTTACAGCGTCTTCGAGTAATCAGTGAACATACATTAAAAAAAAGATACCGACGAATTGAGAACCTCCTCCTTTTTTAAATTGCTTGAAAAGATAATTTTAATCATCTCTAAAATTGATCTAGTAAGTAGAGAATAGGGATGTTACGAATGTCACATTTACTAATGCGAATTTTCGAGATGCATATATCGCTAATGCGAATATTTTGGAATAATATTTAAAGAAAAAAAAATTTAATAAACTTAAGTCCTCTTTTTTATTACTTATAAATAGGAATATGAAAAAATATTAAAACAGTAAACCAGTGTTATACATAAACAGTAATTATATCTAATAGTCAAAGTTCAAAAGAGGTATATTATATTTCAGAAAAAGTTATTGTGCCGCCTTTTCGCCCATGAGGCGACTTCTAAGAGGCTCGTATATAGCCTGCTGTAGTGAATAATTGCTCACTCGGAATGCTGGCCAGTGGAGCGTTCAGATATCTGTCAATTTGTCGTTTTTTAATTTAGTTTTCCACCAGGGTTTTTATCGAAAGAGACCCGTTTTTCTTTAAGATAATCCTTCATTTGAACTTTAATTTCAAATTTTTGAATGTCTCCAGATTCTACATCATTCGTACCTTCGTTTTCGCTTGCGGAGTCTAGAATTCCTGCCAGGTTGCTTATAAAACTAAGCGCTAAGCGGCCAGCCTCCGCAGAGTCTACTTCACCTGAGGATGCCTCGTGTAGAGGCGAAACATGTGTCGTATTTTCGAGAGCGGTGTGTCGTGCCTAGTGTGGTGGTGCTGGTGGTGGTAGTACTGGGATTAACGGCGACGGGTATAGTGCGCGCGATTGAGAGAGGGTGGAAGGTCCCCTTAAAACTGGGCAGGACACATCATTTTCTTTCTTTATGTGGAATTAAACAAATTAGTTTATAACAACCCCATTATAATGGATTTCCGCAAAGTAACGCCTGATTCTATCAATTACATTAGATACATTCCATTCACACAGCATTGATTCAAATTTGTTTAAAATAGCATTGTCTGTGTCCTCGCACTTTAAATAACGTTTAAGCGGTTGTGCCGTTGTGAAAAGTGTGCCGTTATGCCATAACAGTGAAATGATTTCTATGGGTCGAATGAAACGTGATGGCTTCTATGCGTGCGAGGCCACCGGGCGAGACGCGTCACGACTTGTACACATTCGCTTTAACAAAACATTTGAATCGCTTGATGCAAATGCAAATGTTTAAAATGATGCGAATCCTTCATATAAGCGAATGCGAATGCAAATATTCGTAACATGACTAGTAGAGAATAGCACCAGACATGCGCCTCACATTAATTGATTTCTATATTACAGTTATTTAAATTTTACAAAAAATTAAAAATTACAAATACCATTTCATTTTTTTAAGAACATAATCACAGACCTATACCTACATAATATAATATTCATGAAACATTCCATTTTTATTCTTCAGAGGTATACAATTTTTTTTACTAGGAATATAACAAAATGTTGTGGGTTGAAATCAGCCATTTAAATACTGAGGTAAAACACTCCTAACACGAGTATCTGAAGTTTACTTTAGATAGATAACTAAAATTTTAGTAATGTTAATAAAAAAAAATTCGAAGACGTGAAGTTCGCCAACACGCATTGGGGCAGTGTGGTGAACATTTTCTTGCCCTAAAACCCTCTCAGAAATGAGAGGAGGCATGTGCCCAGCAGTGGGACGTAATAGGCTATAACTTTACTAACTGTAATATTGTTACTAGTGTTGTTTTAATAAAAAGTTACAGTTTATATGGAGCCTAGCTGCTGGTATATTGCAGTGGCCACTTCAGGTGAAACGGTATGGCAACTTATTTGAAAGTAAAAATATGTATATACATTTCAGCACAATGGCAGACCCAAGTCCGAACACAATGATGACTTGCCCGTACAACCCAGCCCACCAGGTCGAACATTACAGAATGCATATCCACCTGCAGAAGTGTAGGAAGCAACACCCAAATTGTAACAAGATAAACTGCCCATTTGATTCCACTCACGTGGTAAACGATGTGGAGATTGACGTAAGTTCTAGTTATTCCTGTCTTTGGTTTATTGAAAATGATGTCCAAAACAAAAAATGTCCTTACCAAATGAGTGCCCACTCTGTTTGAGTTTTTTTGGGTGCGCTTTTAATTTATGCGTAGCTTTGTGAATACAATTTTAGGCAATGCATTTAAGGTTGAATTTATATTAATGTATGTAAATTTCAACTAGAATTACGTCAAAACAATTGGCGACAGTTTTTAGAACTGGGATTGTGTATCTAGTTTTTTATTAGTGAATGATCGCTCTAATGTGTAAAATTAAATGCATAATAATTTCTATATGTTTTGATGAAAGTTTATATTCATCCATTATTTAAAAGTTTATAATAAGGTACGTGAGGGTAATATGGTCACCTTAAGCTTTGCCGCCTTATAAAACCAGAACTAGGAAGAGGACAGAGAAAAATACACAATGTCGTATACTATAACTAATATAGAATAAAAATAACAAACAAGCCTTAGCAATAAAAGAACACTTCGAAAAATTAACTTAAAAAAAACTAACTATAGTAGGTGAGGGTAACATGGTCATCTGGTTAATATGGTCATTCAAAAACTACAACGTCGTTTGCATAGAACTCTATGTGATACAATAGCTCTTGATCAGTCTATCAAATAATAATAAAGGGTCAAAAAGGCGCTCCTTTATCGACGCCATTTTGACAGTTGATATTATTGTAAATATTTTAGTCGATTTTTGTATTGTGTAGTGTAGTTAGTTCTTTTTAAGTAGATTTTTCGAAGTGTTCTTAATTATTTCCAAAGCTTGTTTGCAATTTTTTCTTAATATATTAGTTATAGTATACGACTTTGGTGTTTTTGTCTCTGTTCTCCTCCTAATTTGGGTTTTATAAGGCGAATAAAGCTGAGGGCTTAAATATTACCCTCACGTACTTTATCAACTGTTAAAATAGCGTCGATGAAGCGGCGGCCTTTTGACCCTTTATTTAATTTGAATGACTGATGAAGAGCTATCGTATCACAAAGCCATCTATGCAAATTAGGCTGTAGTTTTTGAGTTATAAGAAAGTGACCATATTAACCGGATGACCATATTACCCTCACGTACTCTATTAAGTATATATAATGAAAATATTTCGAAGACGTGAAGTACGCCAACATGCATTGAGGCAACACTGTGGTGAACATTTCCTTGCTCTAAAACCCTGTGAGCTGTGGGACATATGTATATAGGCTGTAACTTTAACTTTTATAATAATATGTATTTAGTATATTATTTGAACACGCTTCATTTTATGAAATGAAAACAGTAAATATAATTACCAATGACTGAGATTTGAACGTGTGTAACCTGGTAATTTCTGCCATGATAATTATTGTGCCTGTGACAACAATTTTGTATATTGTTTGAGCCTTATTTTGCTAAAAATTTCCTTGCTATTGGTCATTACATCCACTTTTATCTCTCTATGAAGACATATTAACCAAGCTTACCTATTGCTGTCACAATTGTGTTGGACATTTTTTTATAGTATAAGGGTTACAAACGAGCGAACAGTCCACCTGATGGTAAATGGATACTGTGGCCCATAGACATCTACATTTATCCTCAATTAAGAATCAAAATACAGAGGCATTGTTACCCCTGAGGATTAAGATGGAATGCCTCGTTTTCAGTAAAAATGGTCTCCGGTTTTCTACACTCACCATACGAAACACATTAGCATTAAGCTGCTATTTTACGCTGGTATTCTGTGAGAGCGTAGTCCTATTCTGGTTGAGCCGACCTATTCATGCTACAACCATATTATAGTTGCAGTGTGGCTCTACCATATAAAAAACATTGATGACTGTGCAAGCTTCTTCGTCCACACATACCGCATCCTTGAGGGCATAGTTGAAAGGAGAAATAATAGTACTCAAATGCCTGTCTGTTCCTAAGACTGTCAGCAAATTTTTTTGGTTTTATTTAAGTTGATTGATGATTTATTGGCTTTTAAATCTCATAGCTTTTTCATTAGAATATGTCTAAGAGATTGTAAGGTCAACAATGAGCTACTCAGTTTCTTTTGCTTATTTAAACATATCCTTTTAATAAACGTTGTTGAATTGTATAAGTAAGGAATTATCTGATTTTATTGACAACAAATGTAGTTTTCATTAAAGATTCGCAGTCAGAATAATCTCACTGAAGTTGGAGCCAAGCCCACTTTACAAGTATGGTTTACAAAACAAACAAACTTGTCTTACATAATATATAACAAAAAATAAACATTCTTTTGTTACATATTGTATTGTTTAATTATATTTAAGCTATTCAAGTGGTATAGAGAGATATGGATAAGGTTATTTGCAGTAATATATATTTATAAGTATTTATATGTATGTTGTGTGTTACTATTACTGTTACACCATAACAAACATCTAATCCACCGCTGAACACTGCTTCCCCCATAAATTGCCTCACAGGGAGGATTTTGCCATAGTAGTCGCCACACTTGGCAGGTGGGTTGGCAACCATATTTTTTGTTATATGGCATTAGGAAGATACCGCTACTGTTTCAGTTTCCCTTTATGGCCTGTTAAGGCACTCATAGGACGATATAGGGTATTGGATGTTCTTACACCGCTACTACACGGTACATGCCGATACGTCCATCTATAAACCTTTGGTACTGCAAATCACTTAAAACGTCGGGTATTTAAAATAATCAAAATTAAATGTGATAAAAATAAGTTTATGTAATGTTATGTGTTAAAATGTTACAATATAAATTGCATATTTCAGTATCATGTAAGTGTCTGCCCCAAGCGACACATGCTGGATAACCAGTTGTATATAACCGATGACGACTACAGGCCCACAGTTGAAATTGTATCGCCTCCTACGGTAGTGACATCTGAGGAGAATTGGGAAGATGTGAGTTGCAAGTTGATTTTTTTTAATTATAATAACAAAAATGACTGCTCTAACAATTTGAGAAATAGTAATTAAAAATTCACTCACCTTTGACAGTGTAAAGTTTGGTTCTAGTGCCGCGTACAGATTTACGCAACGTAATATGAAATGAAAGAATTTGCACATTACTCTGTCCACATTAGTGCAATGTACTTTACACACAGTACACTTTGTAACATTTTCATAGTGTGGACGCCTTGCGCGCGCGAATTGTGCATTTCATGCGTACGCTACGAGCATTTCAAGTCATACAACAGTGGTAGAGCCACGCGGCAGCTTTTGCTGTCGCACGGATGGGCCGGCTCGAACCGGGGTGGTACCACGACCTCACAGAAAACCAGCGTGAAGTAGAGGTTTACCTCTGCGTTTCGCTTGGTGAGTGCAGGTGGCCGGAGGCCCTTTTTACTGGAAATGAGACATTCCATCTTAGTCCTCACGGGTGACAACGCATCTACATTTTGATTTGTGTTAGAAGATAGATGTAGATGTCTATGGGCCGCAGCAACCACTTACCATCAGGTGGACTGTGTGCTCGTTCGTCACACTTATCCTATAAAAAAAAAAATTCATCAAAATCGCTCTAGCCATAAGTATCCTGACTTTAGATTCATCTCAACAATTTTAAAATAAGAAGTAATAAAATGCATTTGCCGCATCCCCTTATATCAACTTAATTTAGATTTAATTTAATTCAATCTTCATTTTCACTGTCGTTCTCAGACGATGAACTCTTAGAGAATCAGCTAAAGTGGAAAAAATATAAAAGTCCCTAAAAATATAAAGCCCCTAAAAATACCATCCCATACCCCCATTTTTTGAGCATAATACATCTTCCATAGTTTTTAAGAGTTATTAAGATTTGAGATAATTAAGTCAATTTTTATCTATGTCTCAAATATAAATTGTTTGAATTCTTACTCCACTGTGAATACACCTTTACGCTGCAGTTTTCCTAATTACTCAATATTTTTTAACGCGAATGGACTATACAACAAAAATATTAATATCTATTTTTTACATTTACAGGATAACACCACATCCTACAAGCCGGACTTAAGTAAGAAAGGCCCTCATATTATAACCAAGATAAAGGGTGCTACTCCCTCAGAGCGAAGGAAGGCCCGTATGGAGGGCATAAAGAATTACCGTCCTGCTGAAGTTAATAAGTAAATGACAATTGCATTAAAGATCTCAGTGAATTATCATATAAACAATGTTATCTTGTGACGAATTACCAGATAAGTAAATATTCTATAAGTGTAATATTATTACATGGAAAAAATTTTTTACTTACTGTCTAGATTATGTTTTTTAACTAATTTACTCCTATCCTCATATTATGAAACGTAAGTGATTTTCTAGTTTACGTGTTAACTGGTGCATATTCACCTATGGTCGTGTCAACTATGACTGGAGAAACGGCTCTCTACTACCACAGTTTTAAGACCTTACAGTTGTTAAACGCCTTAGATGTCCGGCGATGCCGCCACCCGCGTAGCTATTGAAGCGGCCAGCCTGTATGCTAGGAGTTGTCACAAAAATGGAAATAAATTTATTTTGAATATTGTAATACTCATTATCATTCATTAACATATGTATTACTTACTACACTTATAAGTTAAAGACATTTATTGAACAAGATCATTTTTTATTATTACAAGAAAAGACACATTTACAAGTGTTGCACTGCCAAATATTTTGCGTGTCATTTTCTTTTTATAGATTTTTCAGTTTTCTTTTTTTTTTAATTTAATTATGTAATGTATTCGCTCTTCGGATAAACAATTTTATAAACAAAAAAATGAGGGAAACATAAGCATGGCCGTCATTTGAATTCAATTTGACTTAGTAACTCATAACTATAATAGTAATTTACCATCCTAGATTTTATATTTTTCGAAAACGGCACTTAAAATTACCGAATTAAGTACTTTAAAACACGCTCGCGCCAACCGCATGTATTGTCTATCAGACTCAGTGAAGTGCGCTAGCACAAGTTCGCCCGGGTTCGGGGGGGGGGGGGGGGGGGGCCTGCAGTACCCCGACCGTCACTCTGCGCAAGTACATTCGTTTTCCAACTGTAAGATCTTTAAATTGTGCTACTACTTTCTGTTCCGAGAATGCCATTGTCTCACCGCGCCGCGCTCTTTAGTACCGTACCAAGCAAGCAACTTTGTAGTATATTGCGTATTCTATATATATTTAATTTGTATAAGTGTTACCAAGTCTTATATATCATGGGACGCAATGTATTACAAACAAAGTTAGCGAATATGTCTGCTAATGTCGCCCTGTATCAGTCGTGCTTCCGTCCGTGTTTGCTCCGGTTATTCGTTTATCCACCCTCTATCTATCTACTGCAGACTGGGTGGATAGTCGGAATTCAAAAATATGTGAATTCATACCATACACATATTTTTACTATTTTTTTTATAGGATGAGGGTGGCAAGTGGGCACACAGTTCACCTGATGGTAAGTGGTTGCTGTGGCCCATAGACATCTACATCTATCTTCGTTCGCAAATCAAAATGCCGATGCGTTGCCAGCCGTGAGAACTAAGAAGGAATGACTCTTTTCCAGTAAATAGGATGTAATAAAATAAAAAATAAAATAATATTTGTACCTAACTTGAATTATTTAAAAAGCAAAAATATATGATTTCACGGAATCCTGGTGACGTTTCTACGGAACCCTTAGGTCCCGAAGAACCTGCTTAAGGAATCTCTGTTTTAAACCATACTAATGCCAATACCACAGCCTAAGAAGAACACACAGTCAGTCATCGCGTTTGATGTTGTCGGAAAAGTCAATATAAACCATAAATTGCTAGGGTTGTCAGAATGGGAAGTAATAAAAAAAAAACTGATTTTATTTTATTTCACGTTTAAACAAAGTAATGTCATTGCGGTAGCTAAGTGTCCCTTTCGAATCAGACAGTATTTTTACATATTGTATACTCGGTGACGACAGTAACAAAAAAATACAAGGTTTTTGCCATATTTTAAACAGTTTCATCACCTTTTTTATTGTGTGTAACACAATATATTCAACAATAATTAACCAATTTTGCTGATTTAATTTCGTAAAACTACACTTTATTGATAGTCCCACATTTTCGACAGGATCTGATGATAATTAAAGTTGAATTTTACTTTTAAAATTGTTCATTTGTTCAAGGATAACATATTATTAAATATATGAAGGCTATTATACCTAGGTTCTTCATATTTGGTGCACCGTTTTTTGACAATATTTGAGATGGTTATTTATCTAGGTCAGGGATTCCCAAACTATATTGGGCAAGACCCCTTTTCTAAAATGAACCGATACCTCAGACCGTCATTGTCAAATTACTTTAAAAGTCCTATCTCTAGTTTTTTTTTTCTATTGATACAAACTACTTACCAATTTAAATGCTTTGCGGTTGGTTAAGTGAGTAAACTTGACATAATTTTCTTATCAAAATTTAACAAAATAAATAGACATAAAATTCAGTAAATTATATCAAGTGTAATTATAATTATTAATACAAATTACGTAAAAATACATAAGTAGGTAATTTTACTTAAAAAAAAAAACATAAATATAGCTGAATTTGTGTTAGTTATTAGGGGTCGATTTTCAGACCTCGTCGACCCCCAAAATCAGTTTTCGTTCGACCCCCTTGGGGTCTGACGCACTTTAGGAATCCCTAATCTAGGTGGTGGTTCCTATTTTATATAAAAGTTCCAACTGTTGTGGGCCCACCTATGTAGCATCCTCTGCGTCGCGATTTAAATGGTAAGGGAACTAATATATGCTAAGTACAAAGGTGTAAAAACCACGATTTCTTTATTTAAAGTTGACACAAATGTGTGTGTACTGTTGTAGCCTGTGCCCAGCAGTGGGAGACGTATATAAACCCGTAACTATTGTCAACAGTAAGTGATGCGCTGTAGTAATGATATAGTGAATACATTAATTTATATAGTTACTATATGGTAAAATAAAATGGTTATTATTATCCTTATGTAAATAGCCTGTTTCTCAGATTTTGTGTACTTCAAAAAAATGTTTTGTTTTTACTTTTTCACTTTGACATATACTTAAATACATTTTTCCCAATTGATTCAAAGAAGTCATTATAAATATTTTTTGTTGTTTTTCTAAATTTAATTTTGTTGCTTCTATGTCGACAGTGTTCTATGAATAAATGTATATCTCATGTTAATGCGTTTCTTTTCGTTTTGTTTTAACAAAAATACATCTATACAAATACATAAATAAAGTTGAAGTGTTTGTTTGTAACATCAAAATAACAGCTTTTTACTAATTGCATATGAAAGTACTTATACTTACAAGGTACTTATAACAAAAACTGTCTGTCTGTCTGTTTGTTCCGGCTCCAGCTCCAAAACGGCTGAAACTATTTCGACGAGACTCACTGGCAGATAGCTGATGTTATAAGGAGTACCTTAGGTTACTTTTGTTTTAGAAAAATAATTAGGGTTCTGCGCAAAAAAATAAAACTCATGAAATCCAGTCGTATATGAATTACAGGAATGTAAGAAATAATAGTTTCATTTCTTGTACTGTTACAGCCTAGCATAGTCCACCGATGAACATAGGTCTCCCTATAGATTGCCTCATAAGAAGGATGTTTCCATAATTGCCACGTGTAGCAGGTAACCCACCGGCAACAGCATTTTTTGTTGTTTACGACACCTACGGTACAATATAAGTGGGGTAGTGGACATTCTTAAACTGACTACACGATTAGTTTTATTTTATAGAATAAGGGTGACAAACGAGCACGCAGTCCACCTGATGGTAAGTAGATGCTGTGGCCCATAGACATCTACATTTATCCACGTTAATTCGCATTTTAATTCGCAAACGAAGATAGATGTAGATGTCTATGGGCCACAGCAACCACTTACCATCAGGTGGACTGTGTGCTCGTTTCTACCCTTATTCCATAAAAAAGCCTCAAAATATTTTTTCTCCCTTCACTTCTGAGAGGTACAGACAGGGACATAGCAATGAGTACACTGCTTAATGGTTCATATTGACAGTAGGGTGATCAGACTAAAACCGAAGTCAGGAATTGTAAATATTAATATGGCTGAATCCAGCCTTAATAAAAAATTTCTTTTTAAAATTTTATAGTAAATAGTATATAATATTCATCATCATTACAGAACTTCACAAGTCCACTGCTGAAAATAGGTCTTCCCTAAGTAAAGCCACAAAGCATGATCCCGAGCCACCTGTATCTTTTGACTTCCATTTTTTATCAGGTCCTCACTCCATCTCCATTGAATGAGGCTATCTTAGGCTCTGCTTACGAGTATAAGGCCTCCATTCGAGAACCTTTCTTCCCATTGGTTGTCGGTTTGTCTGGCTACATGGCTAGCCTTTTGACCCGTACTATATCAGTTACTCTGGTTTTTCCGCAGATAGTACATAATATAAAGGAAATCAGAATAATTAGTAGTTGTATTGGCACAGCAACGCACAGCCTTGAGTTACGGTGCTGAGGGCCAAATCATGCACGTTTCAAGTAATTCTATGGTATGTAAATGATTGTTCCGGACCTGGATGTTTGTCGTGGTGCAATTTATGCATGTAAACAGTCCCCTACTTAAGGAGAAAATCCTAGTGTGGTAGTTTAGTAGTTTTTTAAATTAAAAGAACAAAATGTGTAATATTGTTAGGTCATATAATTCAACTGTATAATGAATTTTAATTAATCAAAAATGATTTAAATGAAATTGTTAGATAACTTTCATTATTTTAAATTTTCCTGCCTAAAATACCTAGTAGTACTGTCTAAAATCAGGGCTTTAATGCGGTTAAGCTATGAGGTTACGCTACCAGTATAAAATGTTGATATCGCTATTTTTTAAAGTTATAACACCAAAAGCGGTTAAAATTTAACGATACCTCATCGGTAGAAATTTAACGGTAACGCTATTTTTAGGGGTATCGTTATACCTTTGTATAACCTTTACATAACCGAAATTATATTGGTAACTAAAAATATCTGCTTGTGTAATCAAAATTCTTTGTTGTTTTAAACTAAAAAAACTAAACTAATTGAAAACGAAGGTAATTTTGAACCACAAGGAGAAAAAAACCTATAAGTCGATAATTAGGTGGCGAAAAAAATAAGGCTACCTTTATTTTTCGGTACGGAACAATTTGTGTATTGTTATTTTAAGATATTGCAATAAAAAAGAAATGACGTCACACCATCATTTTACCGTCATACAAGCCCTGGTCTAAATTGAGATTTATTACAAATACCTAATTTGTACTTATGTATCAACTAAGCAGAAATTATATATACCTTTTCTACACCAGTAGTTTTTAATGATTTTTTAAAATAATGCAATAGTATTTACCACCAATTAATGTCACCAGTTTCTGAAGTGACAGTTTAAAATATGGTATATTGTATGTGCCATGTAGTGGCAGTATAAGAGAACATCCTATATCGTCTTGTAGTAAGAGGCGACAAAGAAAACAGATGGGCACAAGTATATTCAGGTAAGAGTTAACAGCTCAAAATAATAAAAAACCTGCAAGTGCTAACTCGGCCGTCAAGCACAGTGACAAGTGAGTAGTGGTAAGTATTCTCCTATGAGGCCATGTAGTGGCAGTGTAAGAATATTCACTACCCTGTTCCATCCTTAAAGCTTAAGGCTTCGTAAAAGGTGACAGGGAAACTGAACCAGGAGATGGGTATTTTTTAAATAAAATGGGGGTTATAAATGACCATACAGTCCACATTTATCTCTTTAATTAAGAATCAAAATGTAGATGCGTTGTCACCCTCACCTCTGACAACTACAATGGAATGCCTAATTTTCAGTAGAAAGGGTCTTCAGATCTCTACACTCACCATACTATTTTATGCTGGTATTCTGTGAGAGTGTGGTCCTTCCCCAGTCGAGCCAAGCCATTCGTCCTAGAACCATAATATAAATTCAGTGTGGCTCTACCACATATGGATAGCAGCATCTTTCTGGTAACAGTTTAATAGAAATAAGAAGAATTCAGTTGCCTACCTTGGTAGCAAATATCTCTACTATGAGGTAATCTATTGGGGAGGCCTGTAATCAGCAGTGAACTTTAGATAGGCTGTAATGAAAAATGAATAATATAAATATATAATTTATTTATACAATATATTAGATTAAATAAAATTTTATGCATATTTGATGTAATCGCTGTCCATTTTTTCAAACTTTTCAAACATATCCGCAGGCACATCAACTGTGGAAAGATCTTCAGCCCCAACTTCTTCTTCCTTCTGTATTAGTATATCTACAACATTTTCACATGCTAGAAGCACAGTGGGGTCCTTTTCCCACTTATGATATTCCCTTAACACATAATAAACACCATTCTCTCTTAGAATCTCTCTAGATGCTCTCTTACAACATAGTTTATTTAATGTTTCTAAAATCATTTTTCTAATATCTATGTCTTCGTCTCTCTGTTTCTCTTTTGGTAAATACTGTAATGCAATTGGTAATTTATCCATTTCTTCATCTGTATAGTCTTCATTTCCCATTAATGGTCCTAGCAGGTATGTTAGTATATCTAAATCTGGGCTTAATAAAAATTCGTGGCACTCAATATCAAAAGTTAAGTTTCGTATTGTGCCTATTACTCCTCCCCTTCTAATGTTTGATCCTTCATAATTACAAAATGGTAGTAATTTTATTAATGGTACGTGTGGATTCTCTTCGGTTAACCAACGGCGTATTCTAGGGCTGCAGCTGATATTACTTATCATAGGTGCTAAATAATCTAAATTTGAGCCTTTTTTGTTGAATCCTGTGTTAGCGAAAACATTCAAAAGGTCATTTAAACATGGTAAAATAGAGTCTACACATTTCTCAATGTTGTTTTCGACTCGCGTGATGTTACAAAGTATCATGCAAGCAGCGTCAGCATGATTTTTTTGGGGATCTAGTACATAACCTATAAAAATATCTAAGACGCTTTTCTTCGTGTTCGGTTTAAGTTGTAATAATTCTGTAGCGCCTTTCTCGTAAGCAGTGATATTAATGAGAAGTAAAAGTGCATTTTTGGCAATTTCGTCCGTCCTGTCGTCTGTACAATCGATAATAGATTTTAACAAAGTATCATTCTTCAAAATAACTTGTATACCTTCTTCAGTTCCTGACACACCGATTAAATGCTGTAAGGAGATGTGCTTTAAATCTATCCTGCATTCTGGTCTCAAAAATTCCAGTAATTCGTTTAATGGATCTTTGGCCATGGTTTTGTTTTATTCTAATAAACCATGTGGAAAATAGGAATGTTTTGGTTTATATGTAACTGAACTGTCACCAAACTGTCACTTTGACATGTATTTTTTTAATTTTTTAAGCATAGACGTCTACACTCATACAGTCTAGACCGCGCTAGTACTTCTTATTAGTTTGCGGTCTAGACCACAGTACGCAATTACTCTACGTCTAGACTGACGAGTCCTTTGTTTACAAAACTTCTAACAATATGTTTCAAAAGTTTTCAACAGATAGTCAGTTACAGTTTTGTTTGATAAATATTTTATTTACAAAATTCTTCACAATATTATTTATTCTGTGACAATATGCAGATGCGTCACATTGCGGAGTATCACAAGTAGTGTTGCCCAAAATCGGTCTTGGTCTTGCAGTCTTGGTCTTCTTCTTGCATTTTTGGAATATCCAGGTACCAAGAATAAGACCGCCTATTTTTAGCAAGACCAAGACCAAGACTGACCGTGCAAGATTTGCGCAAGAACAAGATAAAACTTGCGAGACTCTTGCGTCTTGCAGTTAGGACTGAGTGTCCTTTTCAGGGAGTATAGGAGTTCGAGTATACGCTTAGGGACTCTATGAGACATAAATATATAATAAAAAAAATGGAAAATTGGACTTATGCGCTTACGAACAATACAATAAACATACATAGCGAATGAAAATATCCATTAAAAGAAAAAAGAGTGCATCCCTAGTTTTGACCATCGGCACTTTGATAGGGCGCAACGTCTTGTTGGCGGCGTCATCAAAGGTCGGATACTGACCTGTCAAAGAAATTGTGCAGCTATTCGAAAGTACAAGGTCAAGATATAGACGTGCTGGCGGCTACTATTGATGTCGCATACAATCGTCGTCGACGCGCCGCACGCACTACATTTGACACCGTTTGATTGCCGCCACAGAGTACATGTTCCAAAGAATAAAATAAGTTTCCGGGTGCTCAGAATGGACCCGAATACATTATGCTAATCTCGCAAGGAATATTGTAATTAGGTAATGGTAAGGATAGGTAGATATCATAATAATTTATTCTAGTAAGTAATTATTATAACATTAACTATATGGGTTTATAATAATTACTTACTATTATTATTATTATTATTACCTAATAGATAAACATGTTCAATAAGTTCACTGCATATCTCGACTTTTGGAAGTATGTGTTTTTAAAACACAAAGTGCTCGAATATGTCGTCACCCATTTGATAAATATTGTAGACACTTTTAAAACACTTGAAATGTGTAAAAATGGATCTGGATCTTGTCTTCAAGTCTTAGTTATTAACGAGTTGGAGGAGTACCTAAGTAAACCCAGAGCCGCCAGCTCTGAAGACATTTTAAAGTAGTGGAGGACGCATGAGACAAAATATCCGATTTTATCGAAGATGGCCCGTGATTTTCTTTCAATACCTGCGACTTCAGTACCTGCTGAGAAATTATTTTCTAAAGCATCATTAGTAATTAGAAAACATAGAAATAGATTAAGTGATGAGTCAGTCAGATGTTTACTTTGTATTAATGCTTAGTCAAAAGAATTAATATAAAGTAACAGTAACGTTAGAGCTATTGTGTACTGTAAAGTAATTTGATTTGTATCGTAATTTATTTTTTATTTAAATAAATGGTATATTGATCAACTCTTTTATTTCATTTCATATATAGGGAGGTTCCATCAATCTCTTTCTAGGTAGATAATGTTCTTTAAAATACAGTGAAGTTATTGCCATTAACTTATTTTTATATGTTTAACCATGTTTTAGCACATGTAAGCTTATTAAATGTTTATTAAGAAACAGACTGACGCCCGTGGCCGTGGGACACGGTAGATAGCTCAGTTGGTTATAGCATCGGCACGGATCGCTTAGGTCGTGGGTTCAAACTCCACCCGGTGTCAGTTGATTTTTCGAATTTCTCATTAAATGTTTAGACATTTATTAATTTGGTTGGTCTTTACTATGGCTAGCTTAATTCAAGCTCATATGTACCTACTCTGTAAGATGTTCTAAGATCTAAAGTAACGTTTAACAAATAGTAATAGGCTAATAGTTCATTTCGAGACTTGCGAGACTCTTGCTGCAAGACAAAGACTTCAGCTCCCAGTCTTGGTCTAAGACCGCAAGGTCACAATACCAAGACCAAGTGTATTAGCGCAAGACCAAGACCAAGACTTGCTAAGTCTCGTCTTGTTCTTGCATTTGGGCAACACTAATCGCAAGCCGCCAAAGCGAATAAAAAATTTGAGACTATATAATAACTACATATGGCTATCATCATCAAAGTACTTGTAACATCGTTTTTACTAATGGTTCTCAATTCTCATTCATAGATATTAAATACACACAATTACACCAATTACTTATTTAAATGATAATACAGGAGTGACAATTCAACGATTTTCGATGTTCACGTATTAATAAACATAAACAAATAGCATTTGTTTATGTTTATTAATACGTGCACACATATATCTTTTTTATATAGAATAAGGATAATAAACGAGCATACAGTCCACCTGATAGTAAGTGGATGCTGTGGCCCATAGACACCTACATTTATCCTCAATTAAGAATTGAAATGCAGATACGTTGTCTCACCGAGGACTGAAATGTAATGTTTCGTTTCCAATAAAAAAGGGTCTTTGGTTCTTTACACTTACTATTCGAAACACAGCAGCATTAACCTGCTATTTTACGCTGGTATTCTGTGAGAGCTTGGTCCTGCCCCGGTCGAGTCGTCGTAAGTCGCACCATAGATTTCAGTGCGCCGATATCGGTGAGCCTGCGTCGGCGACACTAATATCGCTATCATGTCGACACTGAAAATACAGTTTAACCCGGTAACCAGTTGATGACAATGGTATGATATAAACAAACATGGGCCGTGTTTTATAATGTAGGGTCACAATTCATAATCATGTTTTCACCTTAATAATTTGATAAAGATTAGACATTAAGGTGGAAGCGCCAGGGTAGCCCGCGAAATTCAAATTTTCTTACGTTTTTTGCAATTTGCAGTTCAGTGTCAGGTTGTAGTTATGTTTAACAAAATATGATTCGCGATCGTAACGAGTATGTATTTACAGAATTATAATCATTATAATCATCAATACAACCGTCTATGTTTGTATAATTCCAATGTATGGCTATTTCCAGAAAAACTCATTCATAGAGATTATATGAAATTCGAGGGTTGTATTGGTGATTTTAATGATAATAATTCTATAAACACATACTCGTTACGGTTGCGAATCATATTTTATCAAACATTCAACCTGACCCTGACCTGCAAATTCCAAAAAACGCAAGAAAATTTGAATTTTACGGGCCACCGTGGAGCTTTCACCTTAAGTTATTTCTTCAGTAAGTTTCGTTTTTTTAAACAGGAAAAAATATAAAAATTTGAATTAAATTCTTAAGTCAGAATATTGTTATAATGAATATAACTATATATAAATATTGTTATAGAAGTGAATGTAAATTTAATGCCCTATATAATATATATATATATATATATATATATATATATATATATATATATATACATACACATATATATATATATATATATATATATATATATATATATGACGGCACGTGCGACGACGTCGGTGTAGCTAGACAGAATTCTTGTAAATAACACGTGCTCTGCACACCTGCACTATTGCACCTGCGATGGTGCCCGTTTTGCTTGTATAAAACGGACGGAGCGGCCGCCGTTAAGACAGTCTTGGCTCTGACGTGGAACAGTGCACTTGTCGTATTCCGTTACTAGTTTATCCTCGACTCGTTGGATAATTAATTCGTGTAAACGAATTAATTATTATTCCTAACTACAAAAATCAGTCTCTGTACTATACCCACTATACTTCCTACATCAGAAGTGGGATAAAGTCCCCATTTTTGCCCACATACAATCTTCGAATAGTATGAGGATTATTACATTTGTGAAAGACTATAATGCATTCTGCATTGATGATTCTATTTTTATGTTAAATACCGTAATGAAATTTGCTGTCCTACGTACGATATTGTCGTATCATTAAAGTGTAGAGAAAAGATAAAGTGAAATTATTTAAGTCAAAAGTTAAATCTTTTTATTCAATTTATAATAGAAAGTACCCGCAAGTAATTTCATTATTTCTTAACGTACCCAAATATGATAACAAATGTCGAAAGAAATGTTGGAGATATTCTGAATGAGTTATAGTTTGCATTCAGTGGAAGTTTAACTTGCTCAAGTAATGTTATAATTTGATATACGAGGTGTGATTTACATGGCCTAGTTTTAAAGTTCAAAATGTTTAAACGATGTACCGAAAAAAAAGAACATGATTACTTTAACGTGCTATGACTTAAAAACACTAAGTAGTATTTTTGTGATCTAATGTGATCATAAAGTGTTACAGTTTACTCCGAGCATTACGTAGTCGACAAACTTGGAATGGTTTAGTGGAAAGCGTGGAGCTGTAGCGCTCGCTTTTGAGTATGCTGTCGGCTTATGACGCCGCGGACTTATTATTTGTCGCTGCTACTGATCACCATTAGATACATGAGGAAAGTAAATTTATCCTAAACATTGGCTCAGAAACTATTTTGTAAGAATGAGTGTTTACATTTTTAATTGGTTGCGAAAAATGCCGGAAAACCGAAGTATAACCGATGAAAGTGAAGTAGAGCCAATTAGTTCTGACATTGAAGGGAGTATTTAAGTTTACATGAGGACCGGACCATACCAGAGGTTGTCGTGTAGCCGCAGCTCAGTATTTGGTGCCCTAGAAAGGCGAATGGTGTACCAAGAGTAGTGCTGCATTTCTTGAAATCAAGTTCCGACTGAGTATTTTTAATGTTTTCTTTTATGTGTTACAGTAGCGCGTGTGATGTGATTACAAGTGCGTGAGTGTGTGCCTTGTTGGTCGTAACGGACTGCCAGGTCCAGCTGTAACATGGCCTGGTTTCGGCAGATGCGTATGCGC